TGATATGAATTAATCATCTGAATGATTATGACCTTATCTTATGTTTTATTACTTATTTGATGTTGTTTGAAGCTCAAACAACAAATCCAAAACTCGCCATCTATTATAGCTAGTATGTATATATATATATATATATATTTATATATATATATATATATATATTATATTAGGGTGGTCCTTAAATGGCATTTTCGAATTTCCTTGCTCCCAGGGCTCAAATGGTTCCAAATGATAAAAAACAATTCTCTGAAAGTGTTAGCTCTTAATATTAACGTTTAGATAGAGCGCAATTCAATCAAGTTTTGTATGAAAATAGCATGGAAAAATTTTCAAAAATTTTAAAAATGTTTTTAGATGTAATTTAGCGAATAAATGAATGAATGAATAAAATTACTCATTTGTCGCTAAGTTATACCTAAAACATTTTTTTAAAATTTTCAAATTTTTTTCCATGCTATTTCCATACGAAGTTTGATTGAATTGCGCTATATCTAAACGTTTATATTAAGAGCTAAAACTTTCAGAGAATTGTTTTTTATCAGTTTGGAACCATTTGAGCCTCTGGGAGCAAGGAAATTCGAAAATGACCATTTTAAGGACCACCCTAATAAATATATATATAATATATATATATATATATATATATGTGTAGGAGATAGAGAGAGAAAAAAAGATTAAGCTCAATTGAGTTCTTGGTATTATTATGTTGACTATCACTAATATATAAAATTATAACATTATAAAAATTAATCAATTAATAAAATATAATTATATTTATTATTATCGCTCATCTAATATTATATTTCACTTTCAGTGGGAGTGCATTCGAAGGTCAATGGCAAAACGGCAAAAGGCACGGCCTCGGCGTCGAGACTCGCGGCCGGTGGTTGTACCGGGGCGAGTGGACCCAGGGATTCAAGGGCCGATACGGCGTTCGGCAGAGTTCCACGAGCACTGCCAATACGAAGGGACGTGGGCCAACGGACTCCAAGACGGTTACGGCTCGGAAACCTACGCTGATGGAGGTCAGTCATTGTTAAATAATCGATATTTATATTCTAAACTAGCTGACCCGACAAACTTTGTCCTGTCAAAAAAATTTGTAATGTGGCGGTGTTTTGTTCCTACCTTTTTTCTATTCTTTGCAAAAAATTATACCGAACAGAACCGTCACCCTGGTAATAATTCGGTGTGAATTAAGAATAATTAAATAAAACACTATAAGCATTTAAAAGTAAATAATTTTAATCATGCAAATCATAATTTATTTTAATTCATTTACATCAATGTTTTTGGCTGCCAATATAGCTCGTTATTTAATAGAAAGATATTTCTATGCTAATATAAATATATTGAAAATTAGATTATCAAAAACTACACAAAATGTCATGACATAGATCATTGTTTTTTCTACAAATTTCGTTGCCTACTCGATTAAAAAAGAAAAGGGCTGTTTTTAGGGTTTGCCCGGCAATTATTCGATTTTTTCTCGCCGTAAGAACCATCCTTGGACTTGAACAAACATTTTAAAAAAATAATTGGCCAAATTGGTTCAAGCGTTGTTGAGTTATACGCTTACCAACACATTTTGCGATACATTTTTATATATAGGATATAATTGCTGTTGCACATTTTAATTGATAATGATTGAAAAGTAAATGAATGAACTTATTTTCATCTGAAAACATTTTGTATAACAAATACTTGGACGCTTTAATGTTTCGTACAGCAACATCACTCCTGTGGAAGAAACGCTCGAAGCAAAAGTGTGATATTTTACTTATTTGAATTACATAGTGAATTATTCAAATTTTAAATAATCGATAAAGCAACTTAATTACTTTGATTCCAATTTTTCATTTACAACAATTGGTATTTTGATCAATGGGCTAACTAATATGAGAAATGTTCATTCAGCTGATAAATGAAATTAAATTTGTCATAAGTAAATGAACATAACTAAATACAAATACTAATTTTCAGTTAAGGAGAAGTTTGTTTTCGTCAGAAAATCCACTTTGCGTTAATATTTTCCCTGCGTAAACCAATTCCAATTGAAACTAATATTGGAGAAAATTTTGATACTAAAAGTATATGGTTGAATCGATTTCGAAAATTTAAAAAAAAATTGAATTCAAATTTTTATCTGATATATTTCGAAAAGAACTCGCGTTTGTTAGTTTAACGAGACGATCGATAGAGCTTTATTGAAAAACGTTTTAAAATAATGGTGTTTTTTTTATAAGTATTTATTAAAGTTGGGAATGATAGACCACACTTTTAAAAAATACACCGTGTATGTTAGACGCTTGTTTATTTTTCTTTCAATTATATATGAAAATTTTGACTATTTATGTAAAATAATTAGCAAGTTTGAGAATAATAGAATAATTTGCAATAGTTTCCAGAATTATAATGCCATGCAGCAACTCGGCATAATTATAATTCTCATAACTCATTATATCTATTTCTTATTGATTATTTAGTTACACAACTTACACACAATGCCAGTTACAACTAGTTTAAATAATTTGCAATAGTTTTCAGAATTATAAGGCCATAAAACAACTCGGCATAATTATAAATCTTATAACCCATTATCTCTATTTCTTATTAATTATTTCGTTACACAACTTACGCACAATGCCAGTTACAACTAGGTTTTTCGTAAGTTAAATTACTATCGAGCCTAGCTTTTACAAAAATATGATATTGAGTACACTTCATACATACATATGATAAATATTAATTACGCGGAAAAGAAAATTAAAGTCTTTTCGGTCCATTGTGATGAAGTTATACTACAATTTTCATGAATAAGTCATTAGAAAAAGTTCAGTTTCTGAAATGGAGTAGTAGTATACATCCGATCCAGAAGCTGGTACATGTATCGTAATACGATCTTTTTGTCATAAATTTCATCTTTATATTTTTATGACACTCACTTAACCATAAATTACTCGTAAAAGGAATACGATGCCTGTTTCGTGTTGGCGTTAAATTGCCTTTAGCCGATAATATTTGAATTTTACTATGATAATGATGAAAAATCATGCTTTGAATTAACTTATTGTTAGTTAAATAATATTATTGTTGAAATAAATAAATTAGTAATATTTAAGACCTAATAACTTTATCACAATAGTGTTCTAAATTATTAAATTTATATCATTCAGATTAGGTACTTTATTTATGCATATAAAATTCACCAAATTTAATAGAATGTTTTTATCGGCAAATTTAGGAAACAAAACATATCTATTAACAATTTGAAATATAAGTATCATTTGAAATAAATTAGCATCGATTGATTGATATCACTGGATATGTATGAAATTTTAATTTGATAGCAAGACGAATTTTTAAAATTTTATAATCTTAGTTGTGAATAGCTACGTCGTTTGCTTTCGCAAAATTTTACAACTTAATTTTATTCAATCATCAAGTCTTCAAATAGTGAATGAAATCAAAATCAAGGCAAGAAATACAAAACCGTACTTAATAGGAGCATCCATGTATTTATTTTAGGAATTCGTTACCGCAAAGCAAATATTTGTGTTATGATTGGAAGATTACAGACTACGGTATATAATGATAGATTTTATATTTATCCTAAGGTCTCGTGTATCTTATTTGAGACTTTGCTTTTATTATATTACGCATTCATAATCCAAGCTCTTTTGCTGTGATAAAGTTGTACAATTTTACAATTTATAATTTTTATTAAGACTGTGATTTTTACACAAAGTTTTGCTCAATCAATTTTTCCATGATGAATAAAAGTAGAACAACGAAGTGATAAAATGGTTATTTTTAATCACAGAGTGTTTAAAAATTCACCAAACACCGGATTAATTTTCATATACAATACTTATATTAGTATCTGCTTTGAATGGAACATTTCATTTATTGTATAAAATTTAAATTTCAAATAGCTAGGTAATTAACCGAAGCTGGAATTAATTGGGTAATAGTCCTTCTTAATTTGTGGGTATCTTTTCGATTCTGTGGCAACTATAAATTAAACTTTAAAAAAGTTTGGTTTTTTAATCATATATACATAGAATTTATATAAGCCGTAATAAAGAATGTAGATCAACTTCAGGTCCACGACAAATTTTATATTAATGTTAAAACTGTCAGTCCAATTGTGTTATGATAATAAACAACATAAAACATTTACGATTAACTATTTATAAAATTGTTAGACTCCATTTGAAATTTAAAGATTTAGTGCATCGTCTTGTTCGTTTTTTTGTGATACGCACTACGTCACATGGAGTTTCAGAAATAGTGATGATTAAGTCAATCTGAAATTCGGAAACGGAATGGAGGAGAACATAAACTTGGGTGTTTGTATATATTCCGATCGACATTTATGCGTTTAAGACATGCCTGGGGGCTTTGTCGATTCACGAAGCCCGAATCGCGTCGTTAGTCACGCGGCTATCATGATTTAACTGATTCATTAGATTTTAGATTTGATTAACATCTGTTACATGATGATATAAAATTTATTGACGTTATTGGCTATATTTTTAAATACACAATATTTTTAAATATACTAATTTTTATTGTGGACACAAAATAGACGGAGATCTTTAAGTTTCGCCGGTTTGATCGATATGTTGATAGTTTGTGGTTATATTTTTATAAATACGCTATATTCTAAATTTGATTTTTAACAGATAAAGTACGCATGTTTTGTACATTTTGTACACAAAATAGTCTTCTTCAAATTTCGATTTGATTCAGAAACTGATACAAATTTATTACATATACATTATTTCAATGTCTTTTTGACATAGCAAAGGTAATGTGCTTACGTATACGAGACTAGGTCTTTTGTCTGGGTTAGTCGGACTCAATACCGCCTGCATATATAATGCCGACTACAACTATCGCTTATTTCTTGTTTCTTGTCCCCATGAAAACCGCCATTAGGCATTAATTCATGGGGGGAGGCCCTAGAATTAAATATTTCTCTTAAACTAATTTGTCCTAATTGGCCCTCCTAGCTCTACTTCTTTCCAAAGATCGCAATTCTATGATACTTCAATGTATTATAAGCACATTGTACGCAGTTCAACATGTACCATGATTTCAATATTACGCATATATGTCTTTTGCCAGAACTTATGATATATTTTTTGTTGTTATTTGGACAGCGATCAAAACTTAAGGGTCCTATAAGCTGTTGTGATGATTTGACTTAACTATTGTTACTTCGCTTATATAGATGGCAAGCAAAACAGTTCATTCTAGTTCTAATCCACTACATTAAATAATTGATATTTATATTTCCAAGTAAAAACCGATATCACTTATGTTTGACATCAGACTGACCAAGGAAGGTATTGATCTTGGGACTCCCAATAAACTCACCACTCTAACTCTAACAGCACTAACCCTGGTGGGCCATAATGATTTATTCAACAATTGGTTTGTGAATTTTTATTACATGTAAATCATAACAAAATTTAATATTGGTTATGCTCAAAATATGTCTCACATCGATTACAATTGATGTCTGATCTATTGGTTTCTGATCTACAAGTGATAGGGTAGTTCATATTTAGACAGTAATGAATCACAGATTACAGTACCTTCTACGTGTTTGGTGTCAATTTAGTTTGGTATAATATTTTCATCCACATGTCCATGTTATCGATCTGTTTATCAAAGGTACATCGTTTTTTGCAATGCACCCAAAGAACGCACAGCGATCAGCTGGCGTCGGCGTCGTCTAAAAATAGCGCAACGTGTGCGCGGGTGAAAATAGGAATAACAAAACGTGAAACAAATTAACCCAAAGCGAAATCCGATCCGGGTAAAAATAGAATGACCGAACCACCTGATAGCGTCGCATTATCCAGTTTCATTCTGACCTTGGACCAAGGTGGCACCCTCGGCCTCCTCGGCCTCCCGCATTCAGCCCTAGACTAGATGCTAGGTCGCACTTGGTTGTGGAACTGCGTTTTACGTAAACCCCGCGACTAGTACGCGAGCTAGGGAAGGGTAACTA